TCCTGCAGGATGAGGAACTGGGATGGGGAGGAGCGGCTCCATCCCTGCACATCCTGACACACAACCACTTCTTAAACCTCATTTTTTACCCTGAAATAATTGAGCCTGCTCGGCCACACCCGGTCTGAGGCAGTGACAGCACGATTTGACGCAATTTATTTCTCTCAGATAAACTGAACTGAGGGTAAATCCCAGGGAATTTAGGCAGGATCGAGGCACTCTGTTTGTCCGAGTGAACCTGGAACAATTCCAGGCAGGTTTGTCCGAACTCCTGGGTTTTCCCAGCAGATCCGGGATGTTTTGCATGGAGAGCATGGACGTGGTGATTTAATCCCAGATACGCCAGCGGAACTCGGGGCTGGGGGGAAGTGCGTGAACCCCTCTGGAACTGCCCGAACCTTTGTGTGACCCAATAAAAACCGCTCAGATAAACTTGGATTTGTGTGGCTGGTGAGACCTGCGGGGCCTGTGGGATGGGAGGATGCTGCACCCGACCACTCTGAAGCCTTAAATCTTTTTTTTTTTTTTTTTTTTTTTTTTTTTCCCGACCTTATCCTTTGCAGCTGGAGGTTCTCCGAATCTGCTGGTTATTTAAATATTGGGGAGGGAGAGGAGGTGGGGACAACCTGCGCCAGCCATGGGCAGGAGAGGGAGAGAGGGAGAGACGGAGGTTTCTGCCTGCAAGGGCCGTGGGGGAGCCGGAGGGAGGGGTCTCTCCTGTGTCCCTGTCGCGACAGAGCCCCCGATTGATTCTCCACCCCATCACCGCTAATTAGCGGCAGGGTGCAAAGTGCAGAAACCCAAAATTCGGTGAGGCGTCCCCCGGGGAGGGAGGAGGAGCGCAGGGCTGCCCTGGGGCACTCACCTGCCGTGCCCAGGTGCCCGCTTCCCTCTGGGTGTCCCCGGTGTCCCCAGGGAGCTGTGGGAGGAAGCCGTGGATGCGCCCCCTCATCCTCTGCCGAGCTCTCCGGAATTCCACGCTGCTGGAATTCTTTGCTTCGTTCTCGTTTCTTCTTCGTTTTCGCGGGGAAGGGAGAGCGCTGAGCGCCAAACTCTGCCCGGGGGCTTTGGGGACAGGTTTGGGGACACCCCGCTTGCCCCACAGGTGGGGGCCTGGGATTTGGGGAATTTGAGGGTTCCCCATGAGGGTCAGGCCCGGTCCCGCCCCTCTTCCAAAGCCATGGGATATCGGGATTTCCAAAGCCATCCTCCCTCAGGGGCCGGTGGGGACGCCGTCCCCTGTCCCCCGGGGCTGTCCCCACCCCTCCCGTGTCACCGGGCCGGTGCCAGTGTCCCCTCCCGTCCCCTCGGGGTCCCGACGGCGCGTCCCTTATCCAGCAGCGCCTCCACGCGGCCATCCCGCCCTCGGGGGCGCCTCTGGGGACAGCGACAGGGACGCGGCTCCTCGGGGTCCCCCCCCTGTGCGCCACTCCCGGGGGTCTCGGAGGGGCCGCGCAGCCCCCGGCCCGCTCTGTCCCCGGCTCCGCGGGGCTCTGCTGCCTCCCCGCGGAGAGCGGGGCCAGCAAACCGGGAAAACAACCCCGGCTGCTTTTCGGGGGGTGATTTTTGGCCAATCCCCCCCCTCCCCGAGCACAGCGCGGGGTCTCTCCTGTCCCCCCCCAGCCCCCCCCCCTCCCGGGGCTTTTCCAGCCCCTCGGCTCCTTAATGGAGCCGCCGGGAATTGCCCTGGAGCTCGGTAAATATTGGTTTAGCTCCCCCTCGAGCAGCCCCGAAAAACCCACAGCCTAAGCCCTACAGTCAATAGGGGACGGGGGCAAGGCTGGGCCGAGCTCCGCGGGGAGAAAAGGGGGAAAAACGGGGGGGAGAAGGAAACGCAGGGGAGGGGGGGGGACCCGGAGCCCCAGATCGCGACCCAGCCCCGCACCCACCCCGCGGGTTGGGGGCTGCTCCCCTGCTCTCCTTTCCGTCCCTTATTCCCCCCGTTTCTGCTTCCTCGGATTATTTCTCCTGTCTTCGCTTTTCCTTCTTTTGTTTCGTTATCTTTTCCCTTTCCCTCTTTCCTCTTCCTCTTTCAACATTTTCTATTTCGTTGCTTCTCTTTTCCTCGTCCCTTTTATATTTCTCTTTCCTTCCCCCGCGCCTTTTAATTTTTTTCCCTATTCATCGCTTTTCCTTTTTTTTTTTAAATTTCTTCTTTCCTTCTTCATTTTTCCCCCTCTATTTTTTTTATTTAATTTTATTTTTTTATTAATTCATTTATTTCTTCCCTCCTGGTTGTTTTTTTTTTTGTTTTTTTGGTTTTTTTTTCCTTTTTAATCTGCCTCTCCCTCCCTCCCTCGGCGCCCGCCTTGCACAACCAGGAGCTCGGACAAGAAAGGGCCGTTTCTCCGGGAGGCAGCGGGACGTGCCAGCCGGGCTGGCGGTACCGCGCAGGGAGGAGCAGCTGCAGCGCAGCCCGCCCTCAATCGCAGCCTTGTTCTGCCCCGGCCTCCGCGCCGCAGCGCGGCCGCGCAGCGCCGCTTTTGGATGGAGGGAGGGGGGGGGGGATTTCCTGTGAAATGAGACAGAAACTTGTCACGGAGAAGAGGAGAGTCTCTGTTGGCCTTCAAAGAGAGAGCGGGATTCTTTTTCCTTGCGCCCCCTCTTTCTTTCTTTTTTTTTTTTTTTTTTTTTTTTTTTTTTTCCAGAATAGATATAGCACGAATTTTTAATTCGCCTGCCTTTCACAGACAACAATGCTGGGTTTTGAAAGCTGGGCACAATTTGGGTTTTGTCAGGGGTCCCCGGCCCAGCTGGCCATATGGGATACAACATGTAGAACATGCCGAACAATGAGCGCGAGTGACAGCCCGAACAAAACGCGGAGGACACCGCTCCCTGACTCCGCTCTCCGCATCAATGCCGAGCCCCAAAAAACAGCCCAGGCCGAGGGGTCCCCCCCCTCCTCCCGCACCGTCTCTCCCGCTTTTTCGCCCTCTCCTTTGGCTCCCTTGGCTGCGGCTCGTTAATATGCACGCCTCTAACATGCTCACCTCCCTGCCTCCCCCATTGTGCTGCTCTCTGAAGTCTACTGTATATTGTGCAAAGATAGACTGGCCCGGCAGCACGGCCAGATATAAGGCCACGGAGGTTAGGGCCACACAACTGGTTTGATAGACTCGGCACGGCCCGAGGGGACGGCGGGAAT